ATCAATAAATACATTGATAATAAAAATGTAATAACAATAATAATAAAATAAATAAATACAAATATTAATTAAATATAAAATAAATACAAATGATAATAATAATTGTTTATGATACACAGTGCTTTAGCAGACTAGAGGTGGCCCAGTTAGGGTTCACATCCACAATAAGCTATACTAAACATAGGACAATACACAGCACATATCTGAAGGTAGAAAATTAAAAAGAGGTGAACTCCAGTCACCAGATTGAAGCCAGAACAAAGGTGCTTTGTCACCCGTGTATCTCATGTATGTTGGCACAGGCGTGGTGCGAGTATGATGTGAGCAGAGATTTATTCTGCAGCACACGTCTGATACACGTCACCCCGCAGACAGAGGAGGTCATGTATGCCCCCAGTGCCATTGATTACTGTCTGGGGTGAATTGCGCTGCGGGCGACACAACGCCAATTGTCAGTTATTTAGGAAGCCTAGAAAATGACCCGAGAAGAAGCAATCGGCAGCTCGCCAGTAAGTGACACAGTCCAGGCCTGCAGGACTCCGGCCTCGGGGGTCTGGAACGCCGAGCTTTTATTTATTCCATTACCTGAGCACCGCAGGAAGCTTTCAAAGCAACAAGTGCAAGTTTAAATACTTTCTGGATGAGGAAGATCAGTTAGGGTCCGGAACTCTCTGCCACAGGCGGTGATTTCAGCAAATAATGTGGAATTGTTCAAGAAACTTTTGGACGATTTCTTAAGGGACCGTAATATACAGGGGTCAGTGGCGGAACTACTAGGGTCGCAGAGGTCGCGGCCGCGACCGGGCCCTGGAGTTCGGCCACTTGGAGGGGGCCCAGGACAGGAGGAAGGGGCCACTGGTGACCGCTGATTACCAGTCCCGGGACCTCTTCCTCCCGTCCTGGGCCCTACATGCTTCACGCTGCTCCCCTCATCTTGTTCCGGGCGCAGCGTGAAGCATCATCCAGCCGGGCAGCAGCCAATGAGAGGGAGCGGTGTAATCCCCGCCCCCTCATCACACAGAACTGCCGCCGAGTGCCGAGTGCTGCGTACACGAAGGGGGAGACCGAGACAGGGAGCTGGAAGTATCAACGAAGGTGACATGGGGTCGCTGGGGACATGAAGGGGGAGATGAAAGAGGACAGTGTTTTTTTTTTTATTCCCTTGTCTAATTTTGTTTAAAAAAAAAAAATCTAATTTGTGTCTTCTTGGGGGGGGGGGGCCCTTCATGGGATTCTTGCATGGGGCCCTGAGGTCACTAGTTACGCCACTGACAGGGGTACAGGTACTCCTAGAATGAGATCCTAATAGGTTGGACTTGATAGACTAATGTCTTTATTCAACCTCAAATACTATGTAATTTAAGGGTTAAATGATCCATAGTACACAGTTCCAGGAAGCCAAGAAAATCGATTCTAATCTCAAATGTAAAAAATAACCTTCAAATGTATCTGAAGATAAAACTGTTTTTTTAAATATAGTTTTAGAGTAAGGAGAGATTATAATCCTATCAGGCCTTATTTGCATTCTGTGAGTCATTGGGGAGATCTCCCTTCACTTCCTGTCTGAAAGATAGAACAGGAAGTGAGAGGAGATTTTTAGAAAGTGAGGGGAAATCCCCAAAGGAAGATTTCTCCGCCATTGCTGTGTATGGCGATGCTTGAAATTTGTGGCAGTCAGGCACTCCTGGATATACTGTATGCAATGGATACATAGTTACATCATCTCACGAAGTTAGAAGATGGCAGTCCTGCCTTAGCCTGGGTTCACACCTTTGTGCTGCATGAACGTGCGCCAAAGAACGCGCTTTGATGTTTGTTCACACAACGCTTCAAAAACGTCCAACGTGCCATTAGACTAAAACAGCACCCTAAGAACATCTCGCCGTAAAAGAATATAGCCTAAAACAGGGGTGTCCATTAGGTCGATCGCAAAGCAAACACTGGTAGATCTCACTGACCAGAGCTCCCTCCCGCGGCGCTAGTGTGGCTGAATGTGTTAGATGCTGCAGACGGGAAGGGGCGGGACAGCTCTCCATGGCTGCAGCGTCAGCCACACTATCCCTGCAGGAGACAGCGCACATGGGAGAAGAGCCGGGAATCTGCTGCAGTACAGGTAAGGAAAGATAGCCAGGAGAGAGAGAAGAGACAGCCAGAGGAGAGAGAGTGAGAAGAGACAGCCAGAGGAGAGAGACAGCAGAGAGAGAGAGGGGGGAGAGAGCGAGAAAAGAGAGAAGAAAGAGGAGAGAGAGAGAGAGAAGAGACAGCCAGAGGAGAGAGACAGCAGAGAGAGAGGGGGAGAGAGCAAGAAAAGAGAGAAGAGAGAGTGGAGAGAGAGAAGAGACAGCCAGAGGAGAGAGAAGAGACAGCAAAGAGAGAGTGACAGGTGAGAGCGCGAGGAGAGAGAGAGTGCAAGGAGAGAGAGAGGAGAGGGAGCGAGAGAGAGTGAGAAGAGACAGCCAAGAGAGAGACAACAGAGAAAGTGACAGGGGAGAGAGCGAGGAGAGCGCGTGTGAGAGAGAGAGAGACCTTTTAAATAAAGGTGTTTTTTTTCGTTGGTAGATCTCATTAAGCTCGTCAATTGAAAAGTAAATCTCAAGACAAAAAATTGTGGGCACCCCTGGCCTAAAAGAACAGCCTAAGAACATCTGACCAGGAGAACAAACTGCCTAAATAGCCTAAAAACATTCAACCAGAGGAGAAAATTGCCTAAAAACATTGTCACAATAGCCGATTTATTCGCTGAGAATGAATGAAGTTTTGCTGGACAAATAGATATGTAATGTTTGTGTAAATAGACCCCACAGTGATCTTTATTCACACAGTCAAGTCTAAAAATAACTTTAGCAATTGTTCAGTCATTATATGGACTAAGCTACATTTCTACGGCTTGCTCTGTGTTAGTCTTGAATGTTCCCCTCCTTTGGCCTCTGTAAATCATTAATTGGATTTCGCAATCTGTCCCAGTACGATTGGAGACGGAAGCTCGGTGACTCATTCTGTCCCGGCAGCGAATGGGAAGTGATGGATTTTTTTTGGCTGGTGTTGCTCCCAAGAGCAGAAGTCCCAACAAATGATTTCACTTTGACAGGTAAAGGGTAGCAGGGTTGAACAGGAGGGTCTAGTCTTTATTCCGTCCTTGTTCCTGCACACAGAAGTCCCGGAGTCTCATATGAGTCTGATCTAATTACTGTCCTCGCTCTGACAGCTTCTACAGGAGCTAAAATCTATAAGGAGAGGGACTGACGGCTGTCAGTGACAGGTATCCACCGGTGTGAGGATCTCTCCAGGTAAGTGTAATAAACAGTCCCTTGAATTGAGGTTTTGATGAGATGGAACCGCTGTCTTTCACTCTAAAAGGACTTCTTCATTCAAAATTGGTCATTGAGTTTTGAGCGGATCACCACCAACTTCTTATATATTATACAATCTCCACAAAAAGCTTTCTCTGCAGTAGTTTGTGTCTCTGGCCCTCCGAATGAATCACTCGCCTCTCCTGGGATCTAGTGATGGGTCTCCTCTCTGGAACATTGCTGCCAGCACTTTCACCCAAACCACAACCAATCAGGAGACAGCTCTCCTGATCAGCACCACAGCCAATCCAGGGACAGCTCTCCTGATTGGCACAATAGCCAACCCATGGACAAGTATCCTGATTGGTACCACAGCCAACCCATGGACAAGTCTCCTGATTGACACCACAGCCAATTAATGGAAAGCTCCCCTGATTTGCACCACAGCCAATCCATGGACAAGTCTTCTGGTTGGCACCACAGCCAATCCATGGAAAGCTCCCCTGATTGGCACCACAGCAAATCCAGGGACAGCTCTCCTGATTGGCACAATAGCCAACCCATGGACAAGTCTTCTGATTGGCACCACAGCCAATTAATGGAAAGCTCCCCTGATTGGCACCACAATCCATGGACAAGTCTTCTGATTGGCACCACAGCCAATCCATGGACAGCTCCACTGATTGGCACCACAGCCAATCCATGGTCAAGTTTTCTGATTGGCACCACAGCCAATCCATGGACAGCTCTCCTGATTGGCACCACATCCAATCCATGGACATCTCTTATGATTGGAACCACCTTTACACTGCTAAGAGAAATAAGGCTTAGTGTTCTTCAGCCAAGCATCCTCTGCTGCAGTATTTACCTGTATCCCTGTGAGCACTCTTTGACTCCAAGTGTGCCTCCATTATCTGTGTCAGTTAATGACTTCAGTGTTCCCGATAACTCCAGGTTTGCCTCCAGTCCCTTTGTCATCTACGGAAACCAGTGGGCACAGTAACTCAGAGTGTGCCTCAAATCCCCATGTCATCTAGTGACCCCAGTGCACTCCATTCCCTGATTCCTCTAGTTACTCCAGTGTACCCAGTGACTACAAGTGCACCTCCAGCCCCTATGTCATCTAGTGACTTTGGTGCACCCAGCGAGCCCAAGATTGCCTCCAGTCCTTGTGTCATCTAGTGACCCCAGTGCACCCACTGACTCCTAGTCCACCTCCAAACCCTGTGTCATTCAGTGGCTTAGGTGAACCCCTGTGCACCTTGTGTCTCCCAGTGCACCCATGTCCTATAGTTACTCCAAGTGTGACCTTGTACCTCCAGCTTGCACCTGTGTACCTCTGCTATACCTGTGTCTCCTCTCAGCCTCGTATACACTCATGTTTCACCTGGACAGTCCCTCTTTCACTGTTTATGGACTACTGTCCATGACCACCACAAGGTCCATGCTACGGTGTGACATATCTGACCCAATAATTTGTTCTGCATTATAGATGATCTGTCTATGGAGAACGACTCTATCGAATGGCTCTGTGCTGTTTGGCGCAATCGTGAACACAGACAATAACAAGTGGGGAAGAGCTTTAACGTTTGATAATGTTTTTAAATGCTGATGGCTCTTTTCTGACCTATGATATAATTGGTGGCGTAAATGGTGAGTTGTTATGTTTGCATGGAGTAACACTTTAACACAAGTATTATCTTGTCGTACCTTTTCCAGGTGCAGGTTTATCCAACGCGTAAACGTTCTTTTCTGTACATTCTCCCGTTCAGCTAAAAGGAAAAATGGAAAAGCTGATGAGCACAGCAAAAAAAAAAGGATGCTACATATCAATTCCAACGTAAAGAAGCTGTAACATTTAATCACTAAAATCTTATATAAGCTGCAGCTTTTATGAAAATAATCCCTCCTGATCCTGCCCTGAAGGTCCTTGTTAAAGTTTATGTGGCCGGTGAGGACACCCGGCGCTGGATCCCTGGAGAGGTAAATGTGTCTATGGAGTGGATGGTGGATTATGAGGACAAAGGAATGTAGTCCCAAAGTTTTAAAACAAAGGTTTGCATACACTTCTTGTTATAGTGTGACAATACCCTACCCCTGTCCCCAAGGGTTAGAAACCCCGTCAGATTTTATAGCTGTCTGTGTCACCACTGGGGCGATGCACCCTCTCCAATTGTCCTGAAGACCACTGTCACCAAGACAGAAAGTGCTGGGTAATCCAAAATGTCATCGTTGTCACCAGACCAAGAATAGAAGGGGGGGGGATCTTTCAGTGGGGACACCTGTTCAGTTGACAACTGTCTAAGAGGGCCCCGATTTTCAAAAGATTTCCTCTCACTTCCTGTTTTATCAGTTGGACAGGAAGTGAAGGTAGATCCCCCCAAATGGAACACAGGAGACAACAAATCTTGTCTAAGAAAGGTTTCCCCCTCACTTAGGGGAGGTTTCTTCTCACTTCCTGTAGTGTCTCTAGGACAGAAAGTAAAAGGAAATGGCGCAAGCAAAAAACAAAACCTGATAGGTCTCTAACCCTTTTGTACTCTAACAAAGGTTTTGGCTTTACATATACACGTACTCAAGGGTCCATGTACTGGTTGTGTTGTGCGTTAATGTCCATTGCACTAAGGCAGCCCATTCAAAGTGAACGGGCTGCTAACACGCCCCAACATTCCTAAAACCAAAACGTGACCCGTGTCGTTGTCAATGTCAGTCCCTCTCCCAGTGCTACATACTACCATGCATCGCCACGTGTTATTGCATCATAAAATGCAGGTGCGTTGCATTGAATGAATGGCACTCGAATGGAACCCACATTAGGTGTGTCATTCTGCATTGCACTAACACACATGGCACCACACAAGTATGAATCCCCCTTAAAGGAGAACTATGAGGTGAGTGCTTTCCACTCACCTCATCGTTCTAGCCGACCTGTGACAATGAGACTGTCACAGGTCGGCTCAGTAGATCAGGAGGTGAGCGAACACATCCCGGCGTTCGCTCACCTCTCGATCCTGTCACGGCTCTCTGCGGTGACAGGGGAGGGGCTGGATTCCCCTCTCCCCGCTCCGATCTGCCAGCGCTGACTGGCGGAATGGACGGGGGAGGGGGCGGGTACAGCTGGCTCTGCCTCTAGATAGGCAGAGCCAGCTGTCAGTCACGCAGCTGGGCAGATCCCGGCACAATTGTCGGGATCCGCTTCAGCTGCGGCGTCTCAGTATACCGCGAGCTGTAGCTCGCAGTATACTGAGCTTAGGGTAACGGGAGGACACAAACTAGCGTCCTCCCGTCACCCTAGGCTCAGTATACAGCAAGCTGCAGCTCGCGGTATACTGAGACGCCGGAGTGGATCCCGACATCGACGTCGAGATCCGCCCAGCTGCGTGAGTGACAGCTGGCTCTGCCTATCTAGAGGTAGAGCCAGCTGTACCCGCCCCCTCCCCCGTCCATTCCGCCAGTCAGCGCTGGCAGATCGGAGCGGGGAGAGGGGAATCCAGCCCCTCCCCTGTCACCGCAGAGAGCCGTGACAGGATCGAGAGGTGAGCGAACGCCGGGATGTGTTCGCTCACCTCCTGATCTACTGAGCCGACCTGTGACAGTCTCATTGTCACAGGTCGGCTAGAACTATGAGGGGAGTGAAAAGCATTCACCTCATAGTTCTCCTTTAATGTCAGGAAATGTAACAATATAATGTTAAAAAGGTGTGCGGCCAATTAATAAACATGCAGTTTGAAGCGAATGTAGCTATTTATATAAAATAAGTCAAACTTTGATCATTTTTAATGAAGCATTGACAATACGACCCTTCCCGCACAATGGTGGAATAGGCTCAGTCATCCAAGAATGAGATTTGGAATCTACAGGAAGGGGATTATGAAGAATACAATTGAAGCAGAGTTTTCCTGTAATAGATAATATTCTACGTGTCAGGAGGCCGGGGCTCCGGCGTCTGTCAAGGGAGGCAATTAACGCAGTTAAAAGCCGGGTTATGATATAGCAGAAGTGTTCATTAGGCCATTATTTCACCACCTGCACAAAGTCGGGTTGTCAGCGGTGATGTCACCGTCCCCTATACAGAGAAGGTCCCTTACATCCTCTGCACTATATATCATTCTTACAATAAGTTCGGCACGGCTTACATTTATTATAGGTTCCCATTGACAGACGTAGCCGGTCATTAGTCGCTGAATTTTCAGCTATTAAGAAAGACACCAATTCACAGACCTAAATATCTCCTTGGAACATTCACCTTTGTTCATTCCAGGCATGCTCCAGGCACGCTACATGTATGATAGATTATTATCAGAGTAGTACAGTATTGTATCATGTTAGCCATCGATTAATGCAGAAAGTGATATCCCTATATTGGCTATTAACGCTCCTCAGACGTAGTGGCTGCATTACTTGTCTTTTTTAGGCTTCTTCTCTGTTATTTCAACCTGGTCATCTGGACAGTATCACACTTCCTGTCTTTGGGTGGCTACACTCACTCCCGCACTGTATCTCCATTTGTCCTGAAGACCACTGTCACCAAGACAGAAAGTGATGAGTAATCCAAAATGTCATCATTGTCACCAGAACAAGAATAGAGGGGGGGGGGACTTTCAGTGGGGACACCTGTCCAGATTAGGGTTTTGAATGTTGCGTCCGGGCTTCATGGCAGCTGAAACCCAGACACAATATGTCTGTCAGACAAAATTAAGATGGGGGCTACTGGCCCCCCACTGAAAATAGTCTGAACTATGATAATTACAAATGAATAGGTTGCGCCATATGAATAAGCCATGAATCATTCTCCCAAAAAATCTTTCGATGCGTCGCTAGAGTGTTCAGGTTTCGATGGAAGATAAGGTGGCAACCCTAGTTCAACTGTCTAAGAGGGCTCCGGTTTTGAAAAGAGTTCCTCTCACTTCCTGTTTTATCAGTTGGAAAGGAAGTGAACGGAGCACAGGAGGCAAAAAATAAACTTGTGTATGAAGGAATTTACTCTCACTTTGGGGAGATTTCAGTGGAGGAGCAGCGTAGCCACCCTTGGACAGCAGCATTGTCAGCCTGCGTGGGGAGTAGTGTTAGATGGGCTAGTAGATTTAGATAGACTTTACATATGTGACTAACAAATTAAAGCCTAACGCCGGCTAATGCTAGCAATAAATGGCTCGATTTCCTCTCGTTCAGCATTAAGGCAGGGCCGGATTTCCCACAAGGCCAACCAAGACCCGGCCTTGGCCAAGCAGGTATGTTTACAGCGAGGAAGCCGCCGCTTGTTCTATACAAGTGATCTTAGCGACATTGTATGCAGCCTGCAGGTCTCCCATTCTCCATTGGGGGGGGGGGGGGGCGTGACGG